ACCTACTCTTTAATTCATTTCACAAAAAAGATGGGGTAAATGGAAGAAAATGAGGTGCACTCAGAGCTGAGCTCAGGAAGTTGCACAAAGCCTGCAGTCTCTTCTACCTCTCTGTAGCAGGAGAAAACAAGAATATTTTTAGAACAAGGGTTGGGTGCAAACACTGTCTGGTGTGCTTTGATGGGGGGGGGGAAAGTGTAAAAACATCCTTGGGGAAAGGATTTTGTTTTTAAGAAAAAATTTATAGATAGCAGCGCAATTATGGCTATGCCTTGGATACCCTACCCTTTCCTCTGCACCCATTTATGCCACTGTTTCTTTAAGCCCAGCTCTAAAATGCTTGTCCCTTTAAGGAAACTATTCCAAATAAATTCAACCTGTCCTCATCCAGTCTATCAGGAGATGCCTGGCAGACAGGCCATCAGCCCCTTTTCCTGGTCCATATCAGATCTCTGCAGTGGACCTGAACAATTTGGATATAATAAATCCAAACATTCAATCAAATCATTGGGTCTCTCTCTCTCTGACCCTCTGTCTCTTCCTCTTCAAAATGGATGAGATTAAAGGATCTCTGTAAAATGATCTCATACAATTCCCATCCTCACTTGATCATTCTATAGCTTCAAAGCAACTGGTTTTTGGCATAGACCATGAATTGACTCAGAAAATGATTATCCAAATCAATGCTCAAAAAGGTTCTAAGTAGCCCCAGCACTGTTAAAACAAGAGAACAATCCTTCACACTAACTTTGAAAGAGAGCTCTCACGTGAATATGTGAATTCCCGTATATGTTTTTTTAAATGACTTGTGCCATTCATGGTGGTACACATCTGTAATCCCAGCAGCTCAGGAGGCTAAATTAGGAGGATTGTAGGTTCAAGGTCAGCCTCAGCAACTTAGTAAGTCCCTAGCAACTTAGTGAGACCCTGTCTCAAAATAAAAAGTAAAAAGGGCCTGGAATGTGGCTCGACTGTAAAGCACCCCTTAGTTCAATCCCCAGTATCAAAAGAAAATTGAGTTTCCCTAAGGAAGGCCTAAAATCTTTTTCTTCATCTCCCACATATAAGTTTCTGCAGTGGTTTTTGACAAGCCAGTGTCTACCTTGCCAGGTCAGTGAGAGAGGAAAACTAAACAAGATTTTAAGATTCTGCTTATTGATTTAGCTATGGTCCTGCTTAAAACACCCCAGTGGTTGTTCACTGTTCTTAGAAAAAGATTTGTCTTTTGGTTTTGATTTTCCAGACCCCTGTTTACCTCCCAGCTTCATCTTGGATTACCCAGCCCACCAACCCTCTGATATTGGGCTTCCCTTCAGAGCTATGCTTTCTAGATCAGCTATATCAAAACCATCTGAAATGCTTATTTAAATGCAAATCAACTCTCAGAGAATGGGGTCCCGGGAGTCTGCATTTTTGGCACATGCATAAGGCAGTTCTTAAGAACTCTGACTGCTTCTGCTAAGCCACCCTAATTCAAGAGTGAACTGAGTTCCACTTTCCACCTAAATTTGTTATCTATTGCTACCTAATAAATTACCTGAAAAACTAGGTTAAACAACAAATAGTTATTATCTCAGAGTTTCTAGTAGTAAGGAACTTGGAAGCTGCTTAATTGTGTTGTTCTGGCTCGGGGTTGCATTGGGTTGCAGAATCATCAGGCAAAACTGCCATCATCATCTGAAGGGGCTGAGAAGCTGCTTTCAAGCTTGATCACATGGATATTAGTAGAACGCTTCTGAAGCCCCTCCCACAGGAGCCTTTTCCCAAGGTTGCCCATGTGATACATCTGTTTCCCCCAGAGCAAGTGATCCAAGGCTGACAGTGGTCACCCATGTTAAAAGCCGCAGGCTTTTTATAACCTAATCTTGGAGGTCCTCTTCATCCGAAGTATTACAAAGCTGCACACTCAAGGGAATGGAAATTAATCCTTACCTCTTGAAGGGAGGGGTATCAAAGAATTCATAGACCATATTTTTTTAAAACAACACCACGCCACCTCCATGTCTCCATCAATGCTGTTTTTTTTTAAGTGCCATGCCCTGCTACCTCCAAAGCACATGTGTACACACACACACACACACACACACACACACACACACACGTGCCAGCTTATCCTTCAGGTATAGGAAGAAACCAGCACTTCCTTCCAGAGAAGCCCTACAAAGTTGCAGAGGCCGTATGACTGTACATGTAGCCATCGATAACAAATTTAGGTGGAAAGTGGAGGTCAGTTCATTCTTGGATTAAAAGCAGAAGCAGTGATTTTCGAACTTCAGAGTTCTTAAGAACCGCCTTAGGCATGTGCCAAAAGTGCAGATTCCTGGGGACACTTGGGCATCCTTGGATTTTGGTGCTGTGGCAGGAGGTATGCCCCAGAAGCAATCCTCCCCATATGATCGTACAACTCCAGGAGGTGCCATTTGCTATGGTCACTGTAAAGTTGTATGTTTATGGAGACAATTTTCAGCAGTTAAACAAAAATCTAAGAGGCCTTAACCAAGTATACCAATTCAGAGCTAAAATAACTGTAATGCTGGTCAGATCAGATCTGTCCCAACTGGCCAGGAATTCATCACCTGATTGCAGACAGGAGAAGCACTGTCACAGAAACCCCACAACCCCCACCTCTGCCAATCCTGAGACCCACACCAGAGTTCCTTGCACATTCATCCCCATATGGGGAACCCCAGCTCAAACCCAGCAAGCTGGCTGGGACTCAAGGTGTGCAGTCATTCCAGGGAGCAGGCAGAACTGGCAAAGGCAAGTTCTGGTTCTAATTGGAGCAGAATGTCATGCTACTTGCTGGGTATATTTGTCCTGGAGGAGGTGGCTGCACCATGCCCTTGTTGGAAGAGCTGTGAGCTGCCAATATGAGAATGATCCTGAGCTAGTATGGAACAGACAGGGGAAACAAGTCCTGCACAAAGAGGCTCCTCTGTCTCGGGAGCAAGGCTGAAAGATGCAGCTTCTCTACTTATGTGAGCTCAGAACAGTCTCTTAACCTATTTCTTCCTCATCTGGGAGTGGTTGGGACATCAAGTGAGGTGAATGTCTATGTTCCATATAAACACAGCCAGCCCTCCATGTCAATGGGTTCTGTATTCCCAGATTCAATGACCCATAGAGAGGAAACATTTGGAGAGGAAAAAAGAATTGTATTTGTACTGAATATGGACAGACTTTTTTCTTGTTGTCATTCCCTAAACAGTACAAAATAACAACTATATCCATAGCATTTAAGGTATCAGGTGCTATAAGTAATCTAGAGATGCTTTGAAGTATATGGAAAGATTGTGTGGGTAGTTTACGTGCAAATACTATATCATTGTATATAAGACACTTGAGTATCCTTGGATTTTTGGTGTGTGTGGCAGGAGGTGTGCCCCGGAACCAATCCTCCACACATACTGAGGGACAACTGTGTAAGGCATTGCTATGGTCTGCATGTTTGAGACCCCCTAAATTCCTGAGATAAAATGCTCACCCAAAAAAACATTGCTATTGGGAGGTGGGGCTTTTAGAAGGTGATTAAGTTGTAGGGCAGAGCTCTTATAAAAGAGGTCGATGGCCAGAAGGTACCATGTACGCAACCAGATATGGCCCTCACAAGATACCAAGTCTGCCGGTACCTTGATCTTGGACTTCCTCGTCTCTAGCACTGTGAGAAATAAATGTCTGTTGTTTATAAGCCACACAGTTTATGGTATTACAGCAGTCAGACGGGACTAAGACAGGCATTGTCAAGCCAATTGTAAGAGCAGATGAGGCAGAGAGTAACTGGTGTACTAAAACTTGAACTGGGCCAAAATCAAATCATCAAACCCCAATGAGGAAGCACTGATTAATGTGGGACATGACCCAGCTATTTAAACCAGTTGGTTAGATCTCTATCTGTCGACTTCGAGGATATTCTTGATGGATTATTAGGTGAGAGAAGCAAATGAAATATTCTGTAAGATTCTGTCTCTGTCAAAACAAAGATTCTTTATTAAAGGAAACATTTATTTAACCATTTCTACCTACAAGGCCCAAGTTGTCATGTTGCATTCCTCCAAGGAACTTCATGCTTGTTATAGTCTGTGTGAAATTGTGTCCCCCATTGCCATAATTCTGAAATTGTATCGGCACCAGCATATAAGACTGTATAAGGTTTAAAATGTGATTCATGTTTTGAACTCACTGGAGGGCAACTTGTGTGGGCTTCTAGCAGCCAGAACTCGCCCATCACCATCCACATAGAGGTCACAAGAGCCAAGGGATAGAAGCTCAAATGTGGGATGCCTACACGTCATACCTACTCACCTCAGTTTCCTCGGGAATGGGCCTTACAAAGCTGCTTAGATACTCAAGGAATGGCATGAGAAGAGAAGAAGGTGAGTGAGATCCACTGCACCAATTATATCAGGGAAAAATTGGGAATCACCTGAGTATCCCTCAAGGGGAGGAATGGATAAATGAATGCTGGCATCTCACAGCAATCCAAAAGAATGTAGGCAACTTTTCCTTAATAGGGAAGAGAGTTGAACACCAAAGAGCAAGGTACAGTGTAAGTAGAGCGATTCCATTAAAACAACTGTGTGTTATTGTATGTTATGTATATATAAGCATTAAATGAATATGTATTCACATCAAATGGTGAAGAATCTGAGAGGATGTAGACCAAGCTGCCAATAATGGTTATTTCTTGGAGTAGATGTGACTTTAAATGTTGACTTTCAATGCTTGAAAGAATCAAGATCTGAAAGGTATTGAAGCCAGGGAAACTGAGCCTTTGCCAGCATTTCTTAACATTTTATAAAATAAAATATGTAAGACTAAAAATGGAAATCAATTATACTGAAACTAAATAAGATTTTTAAAACAGATGATTATTAGGTATACTATGGGTTTTTTATTAATGCATGAAATAAAAAGATATCACAGCAATTCTAATAATTACCATAATTTCAAAGAAGCAATAAACAAATAATATTTCAAGAAACCCCCAACTGTACTACAAAAATATTTCTAATTTTTACTGAGGATAAAGTCAAGGTATGTGACACATTCCATTGAAGTAAATGCAGAAATTCATCAAGAGGTTAGTGAAAAATTGTAGTTTTTTTTCCCCTTTCCAAGTTTGTGGACTCTTGATTTTTATTTGTGGGTCTTTTGAGGAATCCACAAATAGCACCTTGGTTTAAGAACCCAGATGATTTCCACACTCTAGCAATTCCATACTAGTCTCTTAATCAAATCTTCCTTTTCTTCCAAGAGGGACTACTTTTTTATTTGTGCAGATAAAAGGAATTGTCTTAAGGCTTGCAGAGTCAATGAAGTAACCTAAATGTAGATGTCTCCAATGGAGACGTGTAATATTCTGTTAGGCGATATAGGTCTTCATTGAGATTGTGCATTTACTTGTTTAGGAAATACATTTTCAATAAGTAAATCATTGTAATTTTGGTTGGTTTTCTCTGGAGCACCTTATCTGAAAAGAAGGAAGAAGGGGAAAAAAAGACAACTTTTCAAGAGCTTTGTCATTAAGGATCAGCAGATTTCCCCCCACAAACATAGATGGTTGCCCCTAAAACTACCTGCCTAGCAGCTAACAATAGTAGTAGTCGAGGTGATGATGGAGGAGTGATAGAGGAGATGGTAGTGTTGATGGAGGAGGTACAGTGGGTGATAGAGGAGATAGAGGTGGTGATAGAGGTGGTGGAGGTGGTGATGAAGGAGGGGAAGTGGTGGAAGGGGTGATGGAGGAAGTGGAGGTGATGATGAGGGAGGGGGAGTGATGAAGGAAGTGGTAAAGGGGGTGATGGAGGAGGTAGTAATGGAGAAGATACAGTTGGTGATGGAGGAGGTGATGGTGGTGATGGAGGAAGTGATGATGGAGGTGGTGGAGGTGGAGATGGTGATGAAGGTGGTAGAAGTGGTGAGGAGGAAAGAGGAGGTGGTAATAGAGGAAGTGATGGTGGTGATGGTAAAAGTGGAGGTAGTGATGGGGTGGTTAGGGTGATGGAGGTAGAGGCCATGATCGTACTAGTGATAGCAGTTGTGGTGACAGTCATACAGAATGGAGATTTCTACCATGGTAGCAGTGGAGTTGCAGATGGAGGTGGTGGTGGTAATGATGGTGGCGGAGGTGTTACAGATGGAGGTGGTGGCAGAGGTGCTGTTCTGTGTCTGAGAGCCCACAGATCAGAAAGTGCAACTTCCACACATTGTGGCAAAATGTGGGGAAACGGACCAGACAAAACTTCTCCACTCTGCTAAATCATTCTGAGTCTCTAAACGTGGTTATTGCAGACTGAGCAAGGCAGGCTGCAGCAAGTGTCCTATTGAATATTGTTATTGCCTTTTTCAAACCAAGAAATTCAAGCACATCCCCACAGCTATGTTGATTTCTCCGGTGGTATTTAGTATGTGATCAGGAAAATAAAGAAAGCTATCAGCAGCGAGGAAAGTAAGGAGGAGGTGGCCTCAGTATCTCCAGGATTAAAGGGGAACTGTGTGGCTTCTGATGCATTGAGATTCTTATTGAAGGTGGCACTTCCCCTTATCAGGGAACAGAAATCAAATTCAGGTTCTGGTCCCCCAAAGGCAGCATTTCTGGTAGCAATGATAATATACACTTGTTTCTCTTCAAGTCCTTAAGGCAGACTTGTTGGGCATAACAGGGGCAGAACTGTGCCTTAGAATGCCACATGGGACCCAATGACGATGCTGAGGTGAAGCAGGACAGTGGTGATGTGGGACCCTGAAACAAATGTTTCTGGGATGATCTTAGTGGCCAAGGTGACAGGCAGCCACTAGGATGGTTTGTAGAATATGCACACATTCCTCAGAGCTTCCCAGGAAGTACTTGAAATTCCCATTGTCCTCAGTCTGGAAACTCCAGCTCTTGATACCTACATATCTTTTTTAAAAATTATTATTTCTGGTGTCTACATATCTTTTTTTAATTATTATTTCTTTTCAGTTATACATGACAGTAGAATCCATCTTGACATACTTATACAAGCATGGAATATATCTTATTTTAATTAGAACCCCATTCTTGTGGATGTACATGTTGGTGGGATTCACTGCGGTGTATTCATATACATATATATACATAGAAAAATTACATCAGATTCATTCCACTGTCTTTCCTTTTCCTATTCCTACTCCTTTCTTCCCTGCATTTCAAAGAAGCACACTCCGCCTGAAGTTTGCAAAGTCAGAGTCATCTCGGTCGCTTATAATTTAAGAGAACTTGAGTTAACTGCAACCAGCATCACTCAATTTTGTAATAATTTTAAAAAATCCACAATGGAGAGTAAATGGTAGGGAAGGGGGGAGGGAATCCAAGGAGGAAGGGTGGAAGGAAGAAGGAGAAGAGGAAAGGGAAGGAAGAAAAAGAGAGATAATTATTTGAATGTAACCAAAGAGGGAGGAAGGAGATAGAGAAAAGGCAATGTCCAGGTTGAAACATGCCCTATAGCCCAGTATACAGAGAGTCTTGAAATAGTTGGAAAAGCAAGTAGAAAAAACAGAGCTATCTGGAGTAGAGAAGAAATGAAAGAGAGACTGATTCATTTGCTCTGGAAAACTAGGGAAGTTGAAGTGGGGCTCACTGGATGCTGAAAGGCTTGGGTGTGGCATCTGCCCCAGGTCTGGAGAGGACACTCAAGGACCTCCAGGTCTCCTCTGTAGTGTTCCAGCCTGGTCCTCCAGGACGGAGAGGCCAAAATAAGAGCCCTGGAACAAACCAAGTGTAAACATTTAGTACTTCCTCTGTGTTGTTGCTTAGGTATACAGCAAGATGCCCTCAACTAAAGCCAGCCTGAACTAGGGATCAGCTCCATGGTGCTACAGAAACAAACAATTAACTTGGGCCTGAGTATAAACTGAAGACAGCTTTGCAAAGTTTTTAAAACTCATCAGGCTGCTAAAACTCAACTTGGCCAAAAATTCACCATGACCTCACTCTCTTTTATGAGCAGCTGTCCTGATACTAATCCTGCCTCCTTCCATAATCCCCTTTTCATGAGGCTGAGAGAACAGGTCAGGAGCCTAAGGCAAATACACTCTCACAAAGCCCTGTGCTTCTGCATAACGTGCATCACAAACAACTGCACTCCTACAATGTGCTTGTCCAATGTCCCCACGGCTGAAATGTAAACCTGGCTGTGTCTCCCGTGCCCACAACAGGGCCTTGGGCACGAATAAGCACTCGGTAAGTATTTGTTGGATGCCTGTCAGCATGCTGCAAACATGAGCACCAAAGAACATGTTAGAGTGTGAAATGTTGTCCCTCTGATAATAGCTAGAGAGAGGAAAAAAAAGTCAATTTGAAAGTCCATCAGATGGGTATAAGGCTTGTTCACTTAAAAGAACAGAATAACTGAAGTTTGATGAGATTGTTCCTCCTATTAGATCTATTTCTCCTACATGCTATAAGGAATGGCACATAAAAGGTGAATATTTCATTTGAACCATACTATCAGGACAAGAAGGGACCTCCATTGTCCAGGTGGCTATTTAGTGCCTCCAATTTTCTCCAAAAGCCAAGTTGTTTTCCAGTGTCTGGAGATTTGAAAAGAAACCTCCTCTTCCTGGTGCATTTTGATCAGGGCTTTAGGGCTTGCTGTTGTAAATCATTTGTAATAAGTACTTGCACACCAATCCTGTGCCATGCCATGGACCAGGATCTGGGGATGTGACAAGAATCTGGCCAGCCTTGTCCAGGCGCATGGCACTTTCAGCCTCACCATACTATACCTGTGTTCCAGAGCACACAGCAAACTGGCCATATAAAGAGTGAAGCCACTCCACAATAGACCCCATGTGGTCAGCAGCCATGGACCAATCTCCCTTACTTAGATGCCAGCAGGACTATCATTGATTCGATCTAGGAAGAGATGCTCTTAGTATAGGGGAAGCATCCTGCATTTAGAGTTGAGAATCTGGGCTCCAATCCCAAAGGAGCTCTCCTACTTCAGTAATTATACAGCCAACCTGATAAGTATGGTCCTAACTCTCTGGGCAGTAAAATGGACTCAGACAACCTTCAACATACAAATGTGTAAGCAGGGAAATGGACACACTTGAGCCAATTTCCTTCCAGCTGTAACTTGCTATGGTGCCAACTCTCCTCTCCCCAAAATTCCTCCCAGTTAGCACATGTGCAGAAACAATCCCAGGAGCTGAGTTTCTAACTTGCTTGAAATTCTGTGGTTTCTCACATCCCTCTGTCTACCCAAATCAATGGAATGTTCTGGGAGGCAGAACAATTGAATCTGGAGAGGAAATGAATGGATACCATAAGCCCTGCTGAGATCCCAGCAATAGGAGCTTCCTAGAAAGGCCATAGATGAGATTTTTATTAGCCCTGGAATATAGAGGCTAGAAGAGGAGACAGGGATATATAGACACCAAGTCTAAAGTCTTTTCCATGCCATATATCACCCTGCAAGAAAGCTCCTCCACTGTATTCTGCCTTGTCCAAAGAAAAATTGCGTCATGGTCAGGTTGGAATATGGGGCAGAGGAGGGCTTTTCTTGCATCCCCTGCTGGCCCTGCCGGCATGCCCCAAAGAATCCCCTGAATGTGTGCAGGCCAAGCCCAGCCATTCTATTGAGGTGATTTCTAAGTACTTAAGTAGCTTGCCTCAGGTCTCTCATAAGAGATGTGGGTACGAAAGGGGGAGGGAAGGAGGAAGAGGGAGGTTTTCCAAATTACTTGGCAAAGAGAAACCCAACTCTGAGCTTTGGTCCAGGCTGTGACAACCTCAGATCACAGTCAAACTCCCTGTTTACTTCCCCTTCCCTGACTCCCTGTTCCGGGGGTTTCTGGGTCTGTCTTCTCTGGCACTGATCATATGCCGGCTCCAAAAATGTGCCCTTTGGTCTGTGAAGTGTGGGGATTCCAAAAAAGCTTCTAGGAAGGAATGACTCAAGGCCGAAAAGAACCACATGGTGCAGAGGGGCATGTTTGCTGGGACACAGCTCCCAAAGTCACGTTCACAATCTTTTTACAAATGCTGCTGATGTGTAGAGCAGAATAACAGGGCTGGGACTCCTGCTCCTGTTTTTTTGTGCCCTTGGATGCATCTTCAGTGCCTAGCTGGGATTCGAACATGGGGAGCTGAACTCTGCCCTGTGCTGTATCCCCTGCTTCATGTGATTTCTCATGAGGAGCACCCACAAAGTCCAAAGATCATAACTTATACCTCACAGTACCCATTTTGTTCCCTCCATCCTAAGAAAAGGGGAGGGATACCATGTTACTATATGGCATTTAAGTCTCCGATGTAAAGGATGTGGGCTAACAAAAGAGTTGGATCTGCTGGCCACACTCTTATTCTCATATTCTCCAAACCTACATCTTCCATTTAGGCCACAATTCAGTCCATACCAGTTAGAAGACTCTCAGGCCCTCCCCCAAACATCTGGCATTCCCACATCTGCACCAGCACCTTCCTGGACACAGTTACCTCCTTGAAGACTCTTGCAGACCTCTTATCTGTCAAGCCAGCCTAATCTCCACCAAGACATGCTCCAGGACCACAGCTAGGTAGGCTGCAGAATGTGGAACTTGATGTCCCAACAGTCTCCTAACAAAATGAAAATGACCAGCAGGCTCAGTCATATTGCCGAGGTTAAACATCAACTGTTCAAACACCGACCATGGAATCTGCAAACGGGTAAATACCATATTGTGCACAGGGAGCCCAAGAATCTGTCCAAAACAGCTGCTCAGTATGTGTCAGAACAGGGCCTTAGTTACAGAACAACACAGATGGGCTAACAAAATACATATTTTAGTGTTTCCTAAACTTACAACAGCAGGGGGATCCACTAAGATAGCTCTCCTGCCAAGCAGAAAATTCCATTCACAGAGAGGATAAATAAGAAGAGGCTGTGGGCTATGAACCATAATAGAAGGCCAGTTCCTTCTCCAAGATGGAAGTTCAGTGTGTTCAGAGTAACCTGAGATATCTTAGGTCTCTCTAACTTGGATAGGCAGATGAGGTTACGTTGGGAATAATCCACATTCCACTCCATGCATACTCTGCTGCTCATGACAGACATCAGGCCCCCACGAAGGATTCCAGGCCTATTTCTGGGAGTGCCAAAGATGTCTCTCAGCATCCGCCAGACCTGGAAGTTTCACATCCCCATCAGGCAGTGGGGCTTATATGCCGGTGGACTGTGAAGTCAGTAAGATCTCCCTCCACTTGGTACTCCACAGGATTTTAGTGAAAGCCCTTTGAGAGACTGACTGGTACACCTACTGCAGGGCACCCAGGAATGTCTGGACCAAGAGACAAATCTGATTATCAGACACCACAGGGTACACAGAATCCTCCTCCTCCCCCAGTGACCAATAACTTCGTTACTGGGAACAGCTGGTCTGGCCCTGCTGTTTCTTCCATGGGGAAATTCTTTCCTAGTAGTGGGCTACTCAAGACCCCCCAGGTTGGCCAGACCCATGAGTTCCATCTAGGGCTTGAGCAGAGTTCCTATTTCAAAAGGAACTAGACTTCTTATTTCTAAAAATTGTTTCTGGGACCAATGCAGTCACACAATGCAGGTAATTTTCATTAGTGCATAAGATGTAAAATGATGTGGTTGGCTCATGCTTATGTTGTTAGAATTAAATTTATCTAAATAATGTTGTCTCTAACACAATAGTTTTAGTTTAGAGTACATACTTTTGTAAAAACTATTAAATATCTAGAAACCAAAAATAAATAAATAAATAAATAAATAAATAAACCTATAAGGCGGGAACACCTGTAATCCTAGTAAGCTTGGGAGGCTGAGGCAGGAGGATCAAAAGTTCAAAGCCAGCCTCAGCAAAAGTGAGGCACGAAGCAATTCTGTGAGACTCTGTCCCTAAATAAAATATAAAATAGGACTGGGGATGTAGCCCAGTGGTCATGTGCCCTTGAGTTCAATCTCAGTTACCCTCCCATCCTCAAAAAAAAAAAAAAACTCTATGCAACCTTTGGTAAATTACCACACTACTCATCCCTTAAAGAGATTGGAAGAAATAATCCAATAATCCTAAATTCCTACAGACTCTAACACTCCAAGAGGCTCTTCAATCTACACTTTCCCAAATATACCCTGGGCATAAAAACCCATAAAAAGATAGAAGACATAAAATTTCTTGTTGGACCAATTTAGCACCTGCCTCCAGGTTTGTAAACATTGTATGGACACAAAATACAATCATGGAGATTCACTAGAAAACATCTATTCTTGCAAGAATTCTTTCTGATCAGAGGTTATGAACCCAGGAACTGGTCCAGGGCTCCTAATTTATACTTCTGTCCCAACACGAATGCATAGGAGTCGAAGATGAGATCTCCAAAACTGTACCCATAAATGAGGGTGAACACACAAGACTCTTGGATGGGTAAAAATGCATTGTAGGGCAAATTTAAGTGTTTCAAATGACAATTATATCTATTAGTACATCACATCCTGTATAATAACTCCCTTAACTACCTTTGCAAAGACAAACACAGAAACTCAGGTGAGGTCAGCCATGCTTAGCCGATAAATCCCAAAGACAAGACTGGCTAGAGCTGCCTGTCTTAACCAAATCTTCCTTATGTCTCAAAACAGAGCTTGTCTACTTGGAGACTGAGCAGACTTCAGCATTGCTTGCTTTGGGACCAATTAAGAGCATGGGTAGACAAATTCTAGTGGCCATTTTACAAATAAAAGCACTATCTCTGCTCCATAAAGTAAATCTTAAAAGAACTACGACCGAGTGGGGCTGGCAGGTGTGGATCTTCCACTTCTCAGCAGGGAACACTCTGGCTTCCCACCACTATTTTGTAAGCCCTCCAAGAAAAAGTAACCTCAATACCAGGTTCAGAGGCCAAAATGGAGCATCAGAACCATGTGCTCGTTATTAAGCTAGTATTGTCTTGATTTCAAAAATCCTTCCTTTCGTACTATGCTTGGAGATGCTGGGTTTGGGATTCTGCAAATCATATTCTTGCTTTAGGCTCTGATCAACTCAGCCTGTAGGAGGCACTAGCAAGAGCCTGCATGGATAGAGGAGGAAGATGGATCTCCCTGGTGGTTTGCTTCCTGTCCCTGTCCACTTTCCCTATTAATCCTATTTATCCATCCAGACAGTGGCAAACTCCTTCTAGGAACATATGGATCCAGTTTGGGGCTTTTCCAACACACAGAACCAGTCTCCCAAATGACCTCTCAGAGAGACCAGTGTATTCCCTTTGTTGACCCAGCTTCCTGCAGGGGTTACCCTCCTTGGATCTCTTCAGATTATCTTTACGCCTTTTGCATTTTCCTAGTTGATAATTCTTCATAATATTATCTCTGGTAAAAAAATAACTGGTGTGATCTCTGTGATCACCTGCCTGGTCCTGACTGATGTACCTACAGGTAGGTCCTCAGCATCTGTGGTGGAACTGCCCAAATCCACAGGCTGCAGAGCTGCAGCAGGGCTACCCACCCAACTCAACAGCCCACATTCTGATGTGGTTTCTCTCCGCCAACCTCTGCATGAACCCGAGCAAGTTCAAAGTTAAAGGACAGAGTGTACTTTGTGGCCAATGGAGCTTAATTGCTGTACATTTTTAGGGGATGGCTGCAAGGACACCTAGCTAACCATTTGCCTATTTCTCCTTGATGGCCGGTAGTGAGCTGTATGGAAGCATCCTCATCATAGGTTTGCGGGGGAAAATGATCTTGTTATAGTTTGCGGTGGGACATTCTCTGGAATCCTTTTGTAAATACGTGGGTTCTGGGGCAACAGTAGCATCCAAAAAAGAGTAAGTTGCCAACATTGATAACATAGTCTCTGATAGCATATCCTTGAACACAGCTTCTTCAGAGGACTTGAAGGACTTTATTCTCCCTCCCATCTGGAGGATGCTGGAAGGCTTGTTCAGCCGTGATGCCTGTTGACTTTCCCCGAAAGTCTTCCTGTATTCCAATTCTCTAGTTTTGCTTTTCTCAATGAGTCTTTTTACCACTGGGCATATATAGGTGACATAAGCTGGCCAAGGATCATTTTTATCAAGCAGTTTCTTAGGAAGTCCGATGTTTTCTGTGGGTCCTACCAGCAAAGAGAAATGCAGGCTATTTAGAGGCAGTCATATACAATTATTCAAAGTATTGAGCATAGAGGAGCCAAACCTTGAACTCTTCCCTATCGTGCCTGCCCTTATATTCCACAGGAATAAAATCCAATCCAAAGTGGGGGACAGAAGGATATTCTATACAGTATTTCAGTTAAAGAATAGTGGAAATACTAAAGAACAAGAGACTTGAAGTCAGGTAGGCAGGCTCGCTTTCAAATATTTATCTAACCTCAAATTATTTAAGCCCTTCAACATTTATTTTTTTTCACCAAATAAAAATGGTTAATATAAGGTTAGGGTAAGGACTAAATAAAGTCAGCCAGCCCTTGGTCTTTGTGGGGTATTTATTGATTTCAGGACTTCCCACAGTGAATCTGCAATTGCTGAAATTCCACATATAAAATAGCATAGAATTTGCATACGCTCTATACACATCCTCCCATATGCTTTAAATCGTCTTTAGATTACTTTTAATACCAAATACAATGTAAATGCTATGTAAATACGTTTCTGCTATAGATAGTTTGAGAGTAATGACATGAAAATAATCTATTCATGTCAGTAAACACACACCTTTTTTGAAAATAAATGACAGCGGAATGCATTACAACTCTTATTACACATATACAGCACAATTTTTTATATCTCTGTTGTCTATAAAGTATGTTGACACCAATTTGTGTCTTCATACATGCACTTTGGATCATGCTGACTATATTTTGTATTCACAATTATGTGAATCTAAAGATGTGGAACTCAATGCTACAAAGAGCCAACTATAATATATTTTAAGGACTTGGAACAAGTGACATATCCTAAAAAATAATAAGCTCTTCACCAGAGCTGCTGCACAGAAGTTCTGGATGTTTGGGGTGGGGTGGGAAAGGCTGCCCATCAGTTTTTGCAGTTCCTTTGCAGATACCGAATTATGGACAGGTCAGTCTTTCCTTCCTTTATTTGCAACCTAACTCTATCTACCAGGAATGCCTCCAATTTATTTCCTGTAGCTGCCGCCTTTCCCTGTTCACCCCAATGGTGTGTAATTTCCTTCCTCTTCTGTCATTTCAATAGGAATTTGAGAAGGACTAGCGAGAAACCTTCATCTTGCCATCTCCAACCTAAATTCGGTTAAAAATGCTATAAATGGGGATAATCAAGAGAAGACACAGATTATAGTAGACCCCCTTATCTTCAGTTTCACCTTCAATTACCCAAAAATATTTCATAGATAATTCCAGAAACAAATAATTCATAAGTTTTAACTAAGTTTTTAATGATATATTGTTTTAGATCTATTTTATTGTTATTGTCATTAGTCTCTTAGTGTACCTAATTTATGAAGTAGACGTTGTCATAGGTATGTACTATAGAAAAAAACACACTATGTATAGGGTTTGCTACTAGCCACTGTTTCAGGCACTCATGGGTATCTTGGGATGTAGCCCTTGTGGGAATTACTATGTACAGTTCTTTCCAGCCTGCCTCTGTGACATTCGGGAGCTGGAGCTTCTCCAGGGACAGATCTGTCAGTAAAGAATGTGCCACCGAAGGGTTCCATCTTCCTCTGAGAGTCCTCTGTTCCTCTGTGGAGGAAGGCAAGATGTGTGACATCGCCTTTCACTAGAAAAGTCCCAACAAAATTTCCAAGCACAGACTTGACTGTTCATTCTTGTGTCCTTGAAGCAAAGATCTTGCAGGTTAGCATAGTTGTATGGCTCTGGCAGAGGCAAAACCAAACCCCTGGAGCAAACTGAGGAGCAGCCCCTTCACATCCCATGCACAGAGTCTGACCCCTACCAGCAATAACAAGAGAGGCCATCCACAGAGCCCTGCCTTTTCTTATCTCCACCTTTCCTTCTTCTGTTTTTAACTTTGTCACATTTTTCCTCTCTTCCTGGTCTGTTAGCATTCCTCATAATGTAGGTCCATGTAGCTTTGGGGAAACATACTTTCAGCCAGGGCTTCCTCAAACTAACCTAAGAACACAATAAGTAGCCACCCTTAGAATCCCAAGCCCTATGGTCTCTGCAAGAAGCTAAGCTGAGTCCACCTTCAGAGAAAAGGATATGCTTTCCTTCCAACTGGAGGGAGGTGAGGCCCAAAAGGCATGGCCTTGCTCAAACTCCTTAGGTTGCCCTGACCCTCTTCTGCAGGTACTCTGCCTTATGGACTCCTAGTGCTATGGTGTGAGTGCTGGGGTTTGTGTGGAGGTTGATTCATAGAGAGAGATTCAAAGCCATACCATCTATTCTACCAGACTCTGCATGTGGCCATGTCCCTGCAAGTGTGCAAAGTTCCACTCTCTACCTACACACCCAGCCTAGGATTGGGATTAGGGTGTGGCAAAGATGGCAGCAACCAGGAGAGTCAGCTACAAGGGCCCCAAGAACAGGCTGAAATAGGGAAGCGTTAAGGGTCTCTGTGGTCATGCAGATGGTGATGAGAACTATGGTCAGCATGTCTAACTGGAGGACTTGTTAAAGCACAGAATGCAAGGCCCACCCTCAGGGTGGCTGATTGCAGGACAACCACCACTAAACCAAAAGGGGGGAGGGGGAAAAACAGAAACAAAAACAAACACTGGAGACCTGTAGGGTTGTATTATTAACTGCCTAGACAGGAAACGGGACATGTTTTTAGTTCTTTTCCAGTTTTGAGACACGTGCTGTTACCCAAGAATTTATTATTCGATATATTCAGTTTTTCCATCTCTGTGGCCTTTACACATTTAAAAGGGCTGTGGAGTATTTCCACTCTCACCTGCCAAAACTCTGTGAAAAAGGGTCGCAGTGGTTTCTACTAAGTTCCCAGGAGATGTTGGTGCTACTGTAAACCACACTTTTGAGAAGCATTGGTCTAGGGCAGTATTTCTCAAATTTTAGCAATCAAACTGGAGAGCTTCTAAAAAGATACCTGGGTCCCACCCCTAGAGATTCTGATTCAATAGGTCTGATTTGAGGACATGAGAATTTGCTTCTTCAACTAATTCCCCAAATGATGGTGATGCTGTGGTCCATGGACCATACTGAGTAGCCCTCGCCTAGACCAAGCAATAGTTCTAAACATTTCTTTCAGCTGCAGCATCCAGGAGGGTGATGTGTTCATGTGTAAGCAATTCTCAAGTTTCCCATGTCTTTTTTTCTCCTTATCAAGGAACATTTGTGGAATGAGAGTGAGCATGTCACAAGGGTAACCTTAAATACCACTATTTTTATAAGTTTAATTATTCACAAATTTCAACAACTTTTAAACATACCCAACCATAGGATAGCATTCTGGAGATCTGTTCATACTAAAAAGAAAAATACAAGCCGACTTTTGTTAAACTTATTTAGATGCAGCAGACTCTCTGCTATGAGTCTCAGTAGCAATTTTCTACAACAGTCCATTTTCAAACGAATTCATGATATCATTTTTCTGAGGCTAAGGAAGAAATAATGTCCACATAATCCTCTTAATCTGGAAAGTTTTTTGTGGAATATTTTTTTTAAATGAAATTTAAAGCAGTATATTTCTCCTTTTAAGACCTACCTTAGGATTAGAACTAAGGTCATCAGGTCCCCTTCTAACATAAAGCATGTCATCCAAGTGGTCACCCAGCCTGTTACTTTTCATCTCTAATGAAAGAGGACTTATAAGTTATCTCCCATGTTAGAGCTGTTAGAATTTGTACTTCTTCTACCCATAGGACTTTTGAATCATGTCTGATGATGGAAACGTGTGGTGGTATTTGGGAGATTTTTGGATAATACTTTCCATCCTTCCTTCTAAGTCTCTGGTTAATGAGACTGAAGCATCAGGATTCCCAGTCATTAGTGAATGCTACCCAACACCAGTATGTGTATGTTCGACCCAGTGCGTCTCACTGCATCTCATTGGGCCCCTGCAGAAGCAGGCTGATGTGACTGCTAGCACAATTCTATAGAATAGAATATTTCTCTCATACTTGCTGTTGCTGAGGCTGAGAAACTAGAGACAACGAATGGGTAGAGTGTTTGAGACCGTCAACATGCATGAGGAGGACTTGTTTGTTTAAAACCAGCAGGAGATAAATATTTGACATTAAGTCAGAAGACAAGCTGTGGCTTTTTCTAATTTCCTTCAGCACCAGCACAAAGGTTCTATTTTGACTCCCTATAAATGAACTGCAAACCAGTCTCCAGACAGAAAGAGCATTGATGGGAGGGGCAAGAGGCCACACCGAAGTGACCTTCTTGTTTCTCCTACAGACGTGAAGGTCCATGTTCAATCCAGTGGACCAACTCCTCCAAGTTCCCACCGAGTCTCTCATCCCATCATTTTCAGAATTTAATCTGACATGCTGTGCTTGACTTAGGATCATTCAAAGAAGGAACCCTTACCTGGAACCTGACCTACTCTTGTGATCTTGATCATGTTTCTTAACCTGTTAGGACCTCGGTTACTATAAGGATGAGAATGAATTCCTGTCTTGCTCTTCTCAGGGATACATAGTTGTTGTAATAAAATGTCTGGAAACTAAAGTGCTTCTAAACCAGTGCAACCTGGACTTTCTGCACATCGGGATTACTGGGGTTCTTTAAAGAATACAAATGCAAACTCCCACTCCAGATGTTGTGATTTGATTGGAATGGGATGTAGTTCAGGCATTGGAATTAAAAGCTTCTCAGAATGGCAAGGGGGAGGAGGATGGATAAAGAGATGTTTGATTTGATCAATGCACACTTATATTCATGTATTCAAATATCACACTGAACCCCATTTAAATATAGGATTAATCTATGTTAATCAAAAATTTAAATATAAGCTTCCCGGGTGATTCCAATGTGCAGCAAAGCTAGGAAATTAATGTTCTAGAGTCTAAAATGAAAACATTGAAGATTTATAAGGTATTATTACTAATGACTTAAAGACAGGAAACAGATCCAGAAGATCTTTATAGTTCCTTTACAGTTCTAAGACACAGACTTTCATTCAAGAATCATTGTGTGTGTGT